TTGGGCATTTCTTACCCATATGTCCAGAAAAGAAACACTTTACATTATGTTAAATATGTTTTGGTTAATATTAATATAAACACACAATAATACGTAGATAAAAATGGGTTAAGTTGTTGTTTATCTCCAAATATATAGGAGATTCCTGGGCAGATCATTTTGCTTTTTCTCCCATAAAAAATAAAAAAAATAGACCTAAGAAAGATTAATTCTGTATTTGTCATCTTTAATTTTACTATATTGAGTTGAAATTAATCACCTGGCCAATGAGGGGTTAAAAGTGGCCATGGTTGTCCCTGGCTCCTCATCTAGCTATGCCCCTGACCAACAGTCAGCAGCTGCTGCAATAACCCTGCTGACTTTAAGAACATCCCTCGCCACTGGAGCTCACTGCAGGGACAGAGCTAGGGGATGTCCATAGTAACTGGTGAAGATCTAACATTGTTTACCATCTGGGAGCTGAACTGTGACACTGTCCATGACTGAGATACACTAATTTCAATAAATGTATTATTTTTCTTTCATTACTGATATTTTCATTTTTAAAAATCCTTGATCAAATATTCAAATAATAGCTAAGTTGTAACAATAAAAGAACAAGCTCAAGCTTTCTAAGCCCTTTTACCTTTGCACTTTTGCAGTTGTTGTCTACTGTTGGATTTTTCCCACAAACCGTGTTCAAATTTTGAGCCTGGAAACATTTTGTAAAATCTTGAACTGATGAGTTCAAATTACATTTATTATCTATGAGGGAGCTATGATGAAGCAGCATTACTCTTATTTGACTCAAGTTTCTGGCAGCTCGACCCAACATGAGTACCTTCACTAAATGAATAACAGGTATTGTCAGGAATCCAGTTTGTGTGGTCTGTTTTTGTGTTTCATTTTCTCCTCCACCAGGTGGTGCCCTGTCCTCATTGGGCCTCCCTGCACACCTGAAGCTCGTTGTCCCATTACCTGAGGACTCTTAAGCTGCTAACTGCCACTACCTCGACGCCAGAGTGTTTTCCAGTTTGGGGTACTCTAGCATGCTTAGTTTATCAGAGTCTAATCTGAGTTTTTGTTCTGCCAGTTTTGGGTACTCTAGCCAAGCTGAGTTTTGCTGAATCAAACTGAGTTTTTGTCTACCTGAGTTTTAACCTTGCTTTTTGTCTTTGCCTCCGGGCAGGAAGTCATCCTGCAAACTGGATGTTTTGGCCCTTCTTCCCCCTGGAAGGATTCTGAGCACAAAACTGAGCTGAGGATTCAAGTTTGTGTTTTTTTTTTTTCCCCCAAGGATTGTTTTGGGCTTCTCACTGAGCAGGGGATTCATCTCCACTATAACCCGTTCAAGTACCGCAGGAAAACTAAGTGGCAGTCAGCTTCTCCGTTCACCAAGAACAACCGCAATCTGGGTAAACCCTGTCCGCCCTCCAACGAACAAGACATTCACTGGAACAACCCACACCGACTGGATTCAATAAGAGACACCTTTTTCTGGAAATGTGAGTCCTATTGCCTTAATTCCCTTCTTCAAGTCAAAGACACAAATTTCCCACTGAGCCTGAACTAACCACAGAATCTTCCCCTTCACTTTTCAGTCCTGGTTCGGCAGTGTTCAGAGCAGCACTGGACTCTTAACCTATTCAAAATAAAACCTGCTAAACTTTTCCCTGGTCTCTCTGTTTGGTCTACTGCATGTGGGTCAGATCTTTCGATAAATCATGACAGGTATATTGAAAACACAATGCACCAGAGAGACACACACCTTCAATTTATGGTAGGACATGTTTTGTACTCAAGATTCAATGGCTAAATGTTATTTAAGTCAAGTGAAAATACAATAAACAGTTTTACTGTGCCTGTGTAACTTACCCTGTTCTAACCTATATAAATAACACAGTGCACGTATGTTAGGTATTTGTGTATTTTATGTAGGTTGAAGAGCTTTTTAAGTTTGTTTTAAAAAAGCTCCATTTGGTATAATCAAATCAGTATGTCTAATGCTCTGAAAACACTAGCAGGGGGCAGGACAGGATACCTCAGTTAAATAACTATCATGGTGATTTCACATTGAAGCATTTTGAGCAATGAAGCATCTGATTTGGATTGGGTCTTTTTTTTTCTTAGAGATCCTGAGATCATCCTGAAGAGATCATTGTAGAGCACTGTTGACTGGGCTGTGTAACACCTGCATCTTATCAGACCTATCCTTCAATGCCTGAGTGTTGGCCATATTCAGTAAACTTTAAGTCCCCCTGAGCGCCTCCTCATAACTTCCATGTCCTTTTCTACAGACACTGAGCTCAACTACTTCTTTGGTTTCCCATGGTTTATCTGATCACATCTGGATTCTGTCCTGTGACATTCCATGACATTCAAAGGCTGTGTCGGCTGGTTGAGTTTTCTCCAGATGGGGTTATGTATACTAAGTATGTCAAATGTATACTAAGGTATCACACCAATATATTTAAATTAATGCCAACAACAAAAGACAACATTTTCTGAAAAGTGCTTTAAATCAGTCATACCTGTCTTAATTCATGCTAGGTCAGATCCTGACGTTTGAAAAAGTGCAGTTAGCCATGCCTTGTTGCTAAGTAATTATATAAACCTGTCAATCAGCCGTTATTTACAACAGACGACTGGGACGTCAGCACTGTTGCAGGAGGTGGTGTGCAAATAAAGTTGCTTTCAGCTCTGGGCACAGGAGAGCTGAATCCCAGGATGGTCCTATCATTTGCATTGAAGAGGAGCTACGGTGCATGGACAGCTTTTAACGAGAGTCTATGGGCAAACATACAGGCGGAAATATGTCACCAATTTGTTCTTTGAGGAAGAACAAAACAGCTTCACTCATCTTTAAACATAATTATTACTTTTGCAAATGTCAAAAATATATTAACATATTTTGAAATATTTTTGCTTTGTTCATTTTTTTATGTCTTAATCAAGGTCTTTGAGCGAGTGGAGCGGCACCCTTCTGCCCTCTATTGGCCACCCACCACTGTTCAAAAGCAGCGGTGTCAAAGGACAAACATTTGTTACTTAAGTAGAAGTATAGACATTACAGTTTAAAAACACTCTGGTAAAAGTTGAAGTATTAACTTGACCTCTTTACTCAAGTACAAGTGAAGAGGTATGAGCTCCAAAAACTACTTAAAGTATAAAAGTATAAAGTAACCTTCAAAAAAAAAAAGCCAGATGCCACTATATGAATTGAAAGCTAAATTTTTCGACTAGTTCGACAAATTCTTTGAGATAGGGCAAAGGATGAGGGAGGTCTTGTTGGTCTCGCATGTGTCCGACCTTTCAGACATTTCAAAATCTTTTTCTGAGCCGACATTGTAGCATGGCATAGACAATTAATATTTACAGTTTGAAGAACACCTGCTTGTTTCTGATTATTTCCTTTGGCATCAGCACAATTTTTGACAAATAGCTAACCAATGAGTGTTTGCGTTATATGACTCACCCATTACACTAGTTTTCACTAGATGTGGATGGCGCTAGATGTGAATGGCACTTTTAACACACCTGACCCTTTGCCCCTTGATGCCCAAAGTTCCCTTTTGTCGGTGTGTTTTTTGTTTTGTTTTTTATTGTGTGCTTGTGTCTATGTGTATGGGTGTGTATGTGTCTGTGTGCATGCCCAAAATAATAATAATGAAGATCTACCGTGCCACGGTAACCATGGCTGGTCAAATGATCAACATAACATGCCTTCCCTCACTCTGCCCTCACTGCACTGACGTGCCCTTCTGCTAATAGCTAAGCACTGCTTCAGACAACCGCTACAACTCCCAATTCCAGAAAAAGTAAACAACTGGTCCGGTAAGAATTTCTGCAGTGGTGATAGTTTGTGCACGATGTATTGTTGCAAGATGAGTAGACTGACCAAGTAAAGTGAGCAATGAGCATCCTCTGTGCTGTCCAAATTTGCACACACCGACCTCTCACAAGTTATGGCCGCTCGTCAGCGGGACGCAAAAATTGGGTATGCACTAGCCTAGTAAACTAGCCCGACCCGCCGGCGGCCAAAATCATTTTTGCCTGCAGGTTAGGTCTGGCCTCAATCAATACCTTAGGCCCTAAATCTGGCGGGCCAATCACAACACAGAGATGTGTTTTGAATGTCTGGATGCAAAGAGCACAAGAAGTCACAAGTCATTGAAGTTCTTAAGAGGATGGGATACAGAAAGTTGCTGTTATAACTGCAAAAAAGAAAAATGCCACTGTGATGTGTACAAATAACTCAGGCACAGACAGACTCTGACAGAAACAGACACAGACAGAATTACAGACCCACAGACGGTCTCTGCTTCCAACCCCCTGTTTTGCTTAAAGGTTCTTAATTGATTTTTGAAAGGCTTTATATTTCAGAAATCTAAGGCTAAAGCTAAATCTAAGATGGCTTTCAAAGACAACACTAACTGTTTCACTAATTCATTCTTTGTTTCAGCCTATGTGTTATTTTCTCTATATAAATCTTATGACATGGACATTTAATTAGACATTTTCTGTAATAGTGCAACACCTGCTTCTTTTTCAAAAATTCCAATGTGAGCGTTCCAGTAAATCAAAAGATTTAGCTACTTTCTGAATACTGATAAATTAAGCGAAAGACCGAAACATTTTCCTTTAGTAGGTTTAAAGAGTGAAGTGACTGGAAATCCAAACATGCCAAGCCCTAGTTTATAGAAAAATTGAAACTAAAACTCTTCTGTGAGTTTTGACCAGGGTCAAATTAAATTACAAAACTATTCCATATTGATTAATAATAAAGACATTCTTCTAGACCATTCAGATCAATCAGGAAAATGTACAGACTCCTGCAGTTCTTCAGCTCTGAAAATCCTTGCACCAACCCTGTCATTTTTTTATCAAACTCCATCATAAACATGAAGATAAAGATCATTTATGATAGCTCTCTAAGGCACTGAGTCTAGAAGGGTAGTTATAAACCTAGGAGGAAGGAGATTGAATTCTTCACAGCTACATCATGGATGACAACAGTGAAGTGGGAGATCCGTCATGGAAACCGGAGAGAGGGCACCCCTTCATGCTGCCGTCTTCTCCTCCTCCACCTTACCAGGAGCCATCCTACCCGGTCCCCTTATACTCAGCACAGCCACAGGTAAACACTTGCATCTGAGGTAAATTGAATAAAATAAGAAATTTTAAAAAATTAAGTTGTCTTAGTGAGTACCTTTTTTTTCAGCCTTTTTCTAAACTCTGCAGTAATTTCTTTGGTTTTCTGTAACTTCCTTATATAAACAAGGTTTAATGGATAAAAATAATAATTGACCTCCACTTAAATAATATTTAACCACAGTATAAATCGGTAATTCTGGGATAAAATATGTTGTGTTTTTTTGTCTGCATAAGGCAGTTCATTTAGATGAATATAAGGCAGTTCATTTAGATAAATATGAAGGATTAAATTTCTTGTTTGTGTTCTGCATGACGTAATCTCAGTAGCTTTGTAAGTACGTAACCAGAGCCGAGAGTGGACTTTGGAAAATGAGTGAAACTCGAGCCTTTCTGTTTAATTACCATCTACTTTGATCCAACTCTTACGTATCAAGCAAGAAATGCACAGGAATAAAGGCAGGCTTTATAGGAAAATGTGTTTGCATGCAAAAAATTGACTTAGTTATTAGAATGTTCTTAGAAATGTTTTTAGCTCGGCCAAAAAGACCCAAGGGTTACAGTACCTGCTTCAATGGTCAGGGGGATTTTTAAATATAAGAAGTGGTATTGGATGATCTTACCACCTGTATTATTAAATAGGTAAGGCAATTTCTTTTCCTAAATTCTTAGCTAAAAACTTACTTCCCTAAAAAGACGAAGGCCACAGCTCTTCTTCAGGAGCAGTACAACAGTGTTAACGGTGTTGTTGTTCTCCACTCTATTCAAGGATTCATTTCATTACAGTAGTCTTTTTCAAAAGCGCTTGTTGAGACTCAGAGAGGGCAGAAACAGTGACAGCTGTAACCACAACAAAATATAACTGTAAAACATTCTTTGCCACCATCCACCTCACTGATATTACAATGCTGATTAGATAGCAGGTTACTGCATAGGTGTGCCTTCTTACTGCTCACCATAAACAGCCACTCTAAAAGACAACACAACACCAAAGATGTCTCAAGTTTTTTAAAGGGAGATTGCTGTTGTTATAACAACCAAAGAAATCAGTTTTCCTGCCTGTGGATTAAATCATGATCATGTACCACAAGCTGTCTCCATAGTTTTTTTTCCAGGAATTTGTGAGTACATCCAACCAGCCTCAAAAACCTCACCAGCCCAGGACCTCAACATCCAACGTCTTCACCTCCATGATTGACATCTGCTGCAACAATACGTTTGCATAACCAGAGGATTTCTGCACAAACTGACAGAAAACAATCTCAGGGAAGCTCATGTGATCTTGCTTCCCTCCTTGTGTCACAACATGACAGCCGTTTTGAAGTGACCACCGAGTTTCTGAGTAAATGCTCACATTCCTTAGAGTCTGGCACTTTGAAGAGGGTTTCTTATTAGGTTTTCATTGCAGAGTAGATGACAGCAGCATATGGGGCATTGTGTGGGTAAGGGACTTGCTAATGTGAGCGCTGTGGATCAAGTGACCCATGGTGGGGGTTTATAGTATGGCCATGCGCTTATTACTGACAACAAACATTTGTGTATTATTGACAGTATTTTGACTGAGCAGAGATATATTGTAATATTCGGAGGTTTCAATCATCCGCCACCATCACCTAATGTGGTACCATGATCATGCATGACCCCATTTTGCTATGACTACAAATCCTTAAAATTATAAACATCCCAGTTTTTGCATAACCAGCATACTCCGGACAGCTCACCCAGAGGAGCATTAGCATTAGCGTAGTGACTGTTTTATTACCTTGAGAAAAAGTCTTTTTGGCCAAAACAAATTTACAGACATCCACAAATGAATAAATCTCACAACCTTCCAGTACCTCCATAATCCATAAATCAAAGATTATTGCTTTAAGGTGTGTCATTTTGGTTTTCTGCAGGGCTATGGATTTGACCAGGAGCTTTACAGGCTGCCTTTTCAGCAACCCGGTCAGCAGCCGTACTTCAATGGCCATGAGCAATCAGGAGAGCCAACCGTCTTCACTGTGCAGCCTCCAGCGTACATTCATCAAGCAGGCCCTGTAAAGGACTACTTAGGCTTTTCAATCTTCACCACGCTCTGCTGCTGCCTGCCACTGGGATTAGCCGCCTGTGCCAGCTCCATTGCTGTAAGTATATTTAACTTATATTTGGACTACATTCCTCCTTTGAACTGGAGACTTTGTCTTGCAGCCCAGGGAGTTGCTAAATGTCTGTTTACGTCATACAATGACTTCTTTCAGTGCGGTGGAGGTACCCTTATTTCAGTGTTTTTCATTTTTTGTTTTATTGTTTGCTTGTTTTGTTAAGAATATTGCCGCTTTATAGTTTGAAGGTGTCATTACTCCAGGAGAGGAGTTTAAGGTGGATAGGAAACATTTTAAAAAGTCATTTTTGAATTATTGAATCGACGTTCCAAAAGGCCATGCTTTCTTTATTCAGGCCATTTAAAGGGCTTAATTTTAAGTTAGATATAAACAAAAGGGTTAACAATTTAGAAAAGTTCAGAAAAATTCAGAAGTTTGCATGCATTCATCACAGGCATGAAGATATATGATTTTTGTTTTAAGGACACATTTCAACTTTGAGAAATATAACATAATGCAACACAGAACTGGTAGGTTATATGTAAAAATGTTATCCCACACTGTGGCCTGAAGTTTCTAAATAATGAGTGCTCAAATGCATGTGAAAGAAAAACAGTAAATTGGGCTTGCAAGACGTCTGCTTCATCTACAATGACTGTGTCATAGCTAATGTTTTAGTTATACAATCCCTCTGATGTTGTCATTAAATGTAATATTTTTAGGAGAAAAAAACAGCCTCTTTTCATAAACTTTTATTGCCTCGTGAGGGTTCGCACAAGAATTAACTTGAGTATATGTTGTTTCATACAGACAAAGTGTTAGTGAATGTTAGCAGTTTGCCATGGCACTTTTACCACCGTTTCCTGGTCTCAGTCTCGTTATAAGTTACACAAACTGCAGCAGCACTCGCCACCTGCACTGCAAAAACGATCTGGAAACGAGTAAAAATATCTTAAAATTAGTGTATTTAGCATAA